ACAAGATTTCTTTGAGGATTAATGGCTCATTGGAGTCTATACAATTTTCTTAATTACCCCAAAATAATTATCTCGACTACACAGAATCTTAATAGACAACCATTAATGTCTTTATCCTTGTCTGGAAGAATCTCATCTCTCGGTAAAAAAATAGCTTCTTAAAATGAAGCTGGATAATCCCCCAGCTATGGCGAGAAAAGGTAACAATGGCTCATTTAGAAGATGTTTGGGGAAATGGTACAGCTGAACTACATAGCCTGTTGGTTCTGAAGCTACTGAAAATAAAGGCAGGAAGGGGAGGGCACCAAAAGTATGCACACAGCCGACTTCCGACCCAGTCAGCAGAAGCCACAGAGTTTGAGGCCACGCAATCCAGCCAGGGTGTGGTCTCTGTGCTCTGAAGGAATGAGCTTCCTCAGCACCATTCCACAGAGGGAAGTTTCATGCTGTTTGTGCCTAGGGTGACTGAAAAACATCCCTGCTTACAAGTGACGTTGGTGCTGCCCAGAATAACAGTATATTTGTGTTTCGTGTTAGGATTGCTCTAATTCACAGCCTACAAACTGCGATACATGTCTTTGCCACATTTACCAGTGAAAAATGAGATACAATACAGCATATTCAATCACTCATTCTTTCCATAATATGTATGGAGCTCTTTTTGATACCAGGGCCTCTGCTTGGCCATGGGATGAAAAGACAAAGACAGTCCCAGCCCTCAAATCAAACAGGTAACTTAATAATAGGGAGTCTCTTCTTTTCCTTCTTCCTCATCTTTTCTTCTTCACCATCATCTTTATCATGAATGAATGTTGGATAATGTTTTTTCCTGCATATACAGAGGTGATTATCATATGATTTTTCTTTTTCAATCTGTGTGAATTACACTGATTGATTTGCAAATACTATACCAATCTTGCATTCATGGAATAAACCCCAGATGGGTATTTAATTAGCTCAATTTTCTAAGATATCCTATTATTGGGTGACTGTTCTATGTCAATTAGGTCGAGTTGGTGACAATGTTGTTCAAGTGTTCTACATTTTTACTGATCTCCTGTCTACTTGTTCTATACTTTATTGAGAGGGAGTTGTAGTCTCCAGCTATAATTGTGGATTTGACTATTTCTCTTTTCAGTACTAACCATTTTTGCTTCATTTATTTTTGAAGCTCTTATTATTACGTGCATAAACATTCATGATTGTTATATCCTCCTGGCAATTTTTGTTACCATTGTGAAATAAATGTAGTGGATTTGTTTTATTTAGTATAAATATCACCAAGTTATGGTATTTCCTTCCAAATACTTTCCCAACATAGTTGAAATCATGTTTTATCTACCAGTTTATATCTTATTTAAAAGTTTCACTATGAAATGTCATATATATACCAAAGTATATGTGTGTATATAAACACAGAGAGTTTTTAAAAAAATACAATGGCCATGGCCAGGTGGCTCAGTTGGTTGGCGCATCATCCCATGAACCTCTAAAAGGTTGTGGATTCCGTCCCTGGTCAGGGCACATCTGGGAAGCAACCGATCAATGTTTCTCCCTCACATCGATGTTTCTCTTACACATTCCTTGGAAGCATAGTAACGATACCTTTGGAGTCTTCTGTGCATCACCCTCTTCCTTCCAAAAAGTCATCTTTGCTTTTGTGTTAGTCATTCCCTTATTTTTAGTTTTCCCACATATGTATGTGCTTTTAAATAACATATTCCATTTCCCATTTTTTACTATTACAGAAGAGAAATGATATTGTATATATTCTTTGACTCGTTTTACTTCATATTATGTTTTTGAGATTCATTTAAATTGATGTATACGGTTGTAATTCATTCACTTTTTGACTACTGCATAAAATTATGTTCAAAGAACATGGATAGGCCATAACTTACACATTCTTCTCCTGACAGACAGTTGGGGTGTTTCCAGTTATTATTTTGCTGTGACAAATGATGCTTCGATGAAGAATTTGAGACGCGGGTCCTGGTGTACACACAGAAGAGTTTCTCTAAACTATTGATGCATACCAGAACTAAGATTGCATGCACATGCTTAAAATGTCCTGTTTTTCTTCACTTTGATGGTTTTTAATCATTCTTCCTTATTCTTTTCTTAGGGGGGCTGGTAAGGGAGGGAGAGGAATGGAAAGAAACATCAGTGTGGAGAGAAACATGGATCAGTTGCCTCCCATATGCACCCTGACTGGTGATCAAAACTGCAACCCAGCCCTGGCTGGTGTAGCTCAGTGGATTGAGCGCGGGCCTGCAAACCAAGGGTGTGCTGCTTTGATTCTCAGTCAGGACACATGCCTGGGTTGCAGGCCAGTTCCCAAGCAGGGGACCCACGAGAGGCAACCATACACTGATGTTTCTCTCCCTCTCTCCTTCCCTTCCCCCCTAAAGATAAATGAATAAAAACCTTAAAAAAAACTGCAGCCCAGGCCCGTGCCCTGACCAGAAGCGAACCCACAACCCTTCGCCTTGAGGAACGATGCCGAACCAGCTGAGCCACACCAGTCTGGGCCTTCCTTCTTCTTTTTAATGACTGTGTTATCTCAGCAAGCGTATGCACTAAGCCATACGACATAACAGCACACACTCTGTTGTTAACACCTAGAGTCCGTCTCTTTTTTTGAACTTTATATAGAACTTTGGGGAAAAAAATGTATTTTTTGCCCAGAAATCTCTGCTTTTTAGGTCATTTCATTATGAGGCATGCCCAGAAGTGGAGTTCTTGAATTGAGGCTGAACTGATTTTTATTCGGTGGGAGGGTTTTTGTTGCTGAAATACACAGAGTAATCCCCATCCAGTTAGTTGTTAGTCCTTTGGGATTATAGATCCTCTGGAGACTGTGGTTAAGGTTATGGACTATTCTCCAGAAACACACTCACACACACAAATTATTTGTATTCACAAACCGATGGTTTCAATCGGTTTCTCAGACCCTCTGATGCCCATTTGCTAATTCTCTATTAAATTAAAAATATTGTATTGTCTATCGAATATGACTTTTTAGAACACTCTGCCAAGTAAGTTCACACACCAACTCTTGTACCTCTCAAGCACCTTTTGTTTTAAACCACCGTTTACTGAGCCCACGGGCCAGCGCTGCGCCAAACACTAGAGGCAGGGGGACAATGCCCCCAGCTTTGAGGAATACAGTCTACTGGGGAAGACATGAAATAACAAGTGTTTACAACAAAATACATACAATAAGAGAAGTATTCATTGGATACAATGGAGATAAAAACGACAGATTGATGAGCTTTTTTTTTTTTTTCAATCGGGGGGTTGCAAAGAATGAAGAAACATTCTCCCGAAAGTTCCAGATAGAAGAAACAGCAGCAGCAAAGGGAGAGAAGCATGATATAACCTGGCACAGAGAGGAAACTACCCAAGTTTAACGGGACCGTGTGAGAATGGCAGTGAACAGGACAGGATAAGGCTCTTCCTCACTTGGGCCAGCGACTAGGAAAACAACACTGACACGTGAGACCTCAGCAGCTGGTCCGATAACACAAAGGAAACCACGAAGGAAGATTTCCTCCCAAATACTTCCTTTATTACCCAAACCCACTCTTACCGCACACAGTGAGAACGTCTGGACCGTTCTCTTCTGCCGCTGTCTGAAGTTCAGTGTTCAACATGCAAGGTTTCAAACCTACCTATTGACACAAACTGGCAACACATTTTAAATTTAACACTGTCCGATGGCTTTCATTTTGTAAACGTATTAGGAAGCCTGTACAGTGGTTGTGACAATTTCTTCATCGATTTGCCTTGAAAAATTACCATAAATTGTGATTTAACATTCCCTGAGAATGTTGCTTTTCAGCCCATCAGTTAATACTCCTGTACTATCATCTCATGGAAAACATTTTGTTATTTTGAATTTAACTGAACTTTTTAAGTGTAGCTGAGCATACTTGTTACTTTGAAGTTACTGGTTTAATTCTAGTGAAGCATGTGCAATTTTTAAAAACATTCATACTTCTGTGGAAAATGAATACAACCAATTTTGATAATGCAATCTAGTAAATGTCTTTACTTGATAGACTTTCATCAAAAGTATGATTACAATACTTGTATAAAAGTAATATTTTTCTTCTTGCTGTGGTAAATTTTTAGAATAATGTACTTTCTCTTGAAATTTTAATTTGCTTAGGTTCCTGCCATGCTTATTTTTGTTTTCTTAAAATAATACTCCATTCATGCACATCATAGATCTACATGTATAAAACCCTACGTATAAATTATAAGCTGGGATTATAAATTAATAAAACTTGTTTTCCCATGACTAGAAAAGAAAAATAGAGTTTTAAAGTTTAAATATCAACAACCAACACTGAATAAACCAGTTGCAGTTTACAAAGCTGTCAGCACAAAGAAATGCCTTAGTTTTTCTTCTTTTCAAAGTACCTTTGGGGTCTCCAAATGAAATCCCATTAAACGCCACCAAACTTTGTCAAATAGAGATCTTCAGGGTCACCTTAAAATAACAAAAAGATGTACTCTCATTACCAGTTATCTCATCGACTCATAGAACATGGTTGTGGCTCTTCAAATTTATACTAACAAAAGAAAATGTTTTACAAGAATGAAAAAGAAATCCAAAAGGAGCAAATTTTTTTCTATAACATTTCCGTGGAAACCCCAATGGACCTGAGGGGACAAGCAAAAGCGCGAACAGGAATATGTGTCAATATATGGTTTTTTTCCTCTGGGTGTGCTGTTTTTGTTTTGTTCTAAGAGGGGGAATCTTCCTCATGTGGCACTTTATTCCCGAGTGGAAAACATTCTTTAAAGGAAATTCTTAAAACATAACGCACAGTCAGCAAATGAAGCATTCAAGATTTCACAATGTGGTTGGAAAAGAAGGATCTGAGACACAAATCTAAAGACTTCCAACCACTCTGACCATGTAAAAAATAACAAATCTGCAACAGGTACAAATTATATACATTTATTTTTAATAATTTTAAATAACACTCTTGTATAAATTCTTTTATATATTCAAATCATACACAAATTTAGAAATGCATCATGAAGCCTAGTACAGCATAGGTATGAGAACACATTTTTAAAATTTGTGTTAGAATTTTAGTGACATAAATACAAGTTTAATGTTTCAGAAACATTCCCTAATTGCTTGGGCTGAAATTTAAGGTATTACAGAGTGCTTGTGCCTAGCATTAAAATTTAACTTTAAATCATTTAGCTTTTGCATTAATGTTAAGTCTGCGGCCCTGGGCTCACGTTCTAGGGCCACCGTTGTGGTTACTGCACGTAAGACAGGTTCCCAACCGCCTCTGGAAAAGCATCACTCAGTCATTGACATTTTAATGATCCATAACCGTTCATCCAGTTGATATTACTTGACTTCTTCAAATGAATCAGCGTGCTCTTCCTGCTTTTCCCCTTGGCACAGTCGCTGATTCGAGGTTAAAGAGAAAACTTGCATTAACCTTCCATTATTACTCCCCTGCACACACCAAACTCTTCAGCTTCCAAACTCCTTAACTCTCAAGATCACAACAGACCAAAGGTTCTTTGTGGATGAGACCAGAAATGCTCTCCTTACTCTAACAGGCTACACTGGGTTGCTTTTTACTTCTCAGAACTTTTGTCAGGGAGCTGTCCTTGAGATGTGTGAATTCAGCTCCTATCTGTGTACTTCAAAATGTATGAACCAGGGGATGTTCATTACAAGGGTGTTATGTTCACCACATGTCCTACAAAAAACAACATGGGACTAAGGTAAGTAATCTAATAACCCAGTCCCACCTGAGGCTGTCAGGAGGAAGTGCTGTTGTTAGCTTTTTGCCTCCAAAATGCCCAACTCACCTGACCAAAATGAGCTCAGGGGGTGAGTGAGTGTTGTTTTAATTGTCAACTTTCCTGGGAATATGGGGCTAGAAAGTAGCCATGTAATTTGATGCTTCTGTAAATTCTCTCCTTTCACTTCCTGCCCTGTTCTCCTCTCTTAAAATTCAGGTATCCCTATGAGTAACACATTAAGCCCATAGGACCTTAGCATAAATGAGGTTTAGCTTTTATTATCATTTTTCTCTATAACTGGAGAAATTCCATTAGTAGAGATAGGGAGGGAAAAATGAGAGAGGATAGATATAATTAATCCCACCACCTAGGGCATCTAACTGTCAGAAATGCTTTCAGTGCTTGCTAAAATAAGTTAATGATGATAAAAGTATCATTTAATAGCAGTATCTGTCACTTATCAATAAGATTCACACCAGTCTTAATTGAAAATGAACTCATTCCTGATCTTTAGACCAAAAAGTCTGACACTAGTCCTTGGAAAGGATGCTGGGATGCTTGTGAGGAGCGCCCCATCCACGGGGTCGTGCTGTAGCACAGTGACTGTTTTTATAACACGTGCCACACTTGTTTTCTAGTCTGATTTGGTGGCAGATTACTCTATGAGTAACTTAAGTTTTAAATCAATATTATTTCCACCATAAAAAAAGTGGAGGCATGAAAGAAAATTCTAAGTGTTTTAAGTCTTTAATTGTTTTCCATTGGGAAAAAGTAAAAACATGATCCAGGACTGTTCATAAGTATTTAAAGGTAAATATTCTTTGTGATCTAATGTTTGCAATACCTTCTAAGGTCTGTTTCAAGGAATCTCTGTATGGCCAGAATCTGGATTTGGCTTTGGCTCTTAGACCCCAATAAACACTCCTTTCTCTATTGGGTCAACAACTCTTATTAACCAAAGGTTTATTTCTATCATCCTTAACCCCTGGCTTTGAGGGGGCAGGTATGCCACTTTGCACAATTCCTTAAAACTGTGCAGTGCATGTCTTATGCACCCATGTGGCAGCCACTGAGGAAAGCAGGTTTTCTGTCCCTGCTTGGAAGGATTAGGTCACTTTATTGGAGCACAAGCTGATATTTTTATATCGCCAATTCCGGCTTCAGATAGTAATCTTCTTGTGTTCTCTCCACAAAATCCTTCCTAGCCGGATGGCCCCGAATGGTATCTTGTCCTTAAAAAACTAGAAACATTCACAAATGGGACTCCTCTTCTCAGCCTTCTTGTGTCTGTGGCTAAGCAATCCCTGCATTAGCATACAGTTGAAGTAATATGTGCTTCTGAGTTAGGAGTCCTAATTTCAAGCCAATGACATATTGTGTAGCCTCAAACAAGACATTTAACCTCATCTATGAAATAGGGACAGCAATTACTTCCTCAGGGGGCTATGGTGAGGAACAAAAGAAACACATATGGGAAGATGCTTTTTGCAACCTGCAAAGGCCTACAGAAATATTAACTTATTTTTTTAATATTAATTTATTTATTTATGTTTAGAGGGGAAGGAGAGAGGGAGAGAAACATCAATGTATGGTTGCCTCTAGTGCATCCCCTGCTGGGAACTGGCCTGCAGGAAACTGGCTTGCAACCCAGGCATGTGCCCTGACTGGGAATTGAACCGTGATCCTCCGCAGGTTCGCAGACCTGCGCTCAATCCACTGAGCTACACCAGCTAGGGCAGAAATATTAACTTATTTTAATGTAATATAACATAATCTCTACTCTCGTGAGCAATGGCCAAATATCCAAAGCACCTCAGGTTGCCAGAAGTAGATTATCTGCCTGTACATCCTCTAGAGCATCACCTCCAAACCCTGAGAACAACTTAGTGGTCTCCTACAGAGGGGTGGCCAAATTCCAGGTTTTCCTCTGGGGAAACTGGCAAAGTTGCCAACTTAGATTTCCTAGGTCTACTCTTTTTCTAACCACTTGACAGTTTGCTGTTCTAATAAATATAGCTATCTTCTGGCTGCTTTTCCTGACTTCTTTAATCCACTGTCTGTCTATATCAAAATAGATGAGAACAACAATAGATGGCCTCAGGAAAAAGACTGCACCTAAAAACAAGAACTAACCATTGCACACAACTACAGTGCCACCCCTAACTGGACAAGAAGACAGGTGAACTGTAGCACTGCAGAGAGACGGTGCATACCTCATGGCATATGAGTGACAGACTATATTCCAATGCAGGAGATGTTTTCTGTTGGGGGGGGGGGGATGGGAATATTTCACAGGCATGAAAACCAGATGCAAAGTGACAGGATGGCTTTTCTTTTTCTTGTAGTACTAAAATATTTCTAATTCCTTTGGAAGACCATCTTTTACACTAAAAACATTTTTAATGAGGATATGTTCTACATTAATCTATATAAAATATAGAGAGTGGCTAATGTCTAATTAGGTGAGTATCTTGGAGAGTACAGCCTGTGGCCCCGCTTGCCAATCCCCGACTTCAAAATCTATTGCTTGAATCTACAATAAGTCCAAGAACAAACTCTACATTTAGAATGAGCAGGGAAAGAAAGATCAGAAACATTCGACCTCTTATAAATTTCAACAATGTCCAAAGAGGGACTAAAAATGACTGATGCTCACCAGAGTCCCAGCTCTAGCAATATTGCCATCTATTTTACATTATTTTAACCAATCCCCGTATTTTCTTTTTATGCCATTAACTTCTGTACAAATACATTCTAGATGATAAAATATGACATGATTTTTTTACAAATAGATACAAATACAATGCTGACCAGGTATGCTACATTAACTATATACACCTTATTTCTCTAGAAGCAGGAATATTTTTTATTTTTAGATAATTTATCATTTACACTGAGACCCTAAGGAGGACTATATCAGCTTCCTGCTCCCAGATGTTGCCTTCCTGTCTGAACCATTAGCTTATTCTGTGCTTTAATGCTATCAATGAGCGAGAATTCTAGAAGGAAAAATCAAGCCCTTCTAAAGGCCTTCTGGGACTTTTCTGCTCCTGTTCTAGAAACAATCAAGATTGTTAATTGTGATACAGCCCAGACATCAGCTTTTCCTCAATGATGTCTTATTTAGTACAGGAAAATGAATCCCACCCCTGACCCTCTTTTAAAAAATGTTTCAGGAATGGAGATGAAGTCTTCCGGCAGTCCTCTCCCCCTCCACATCCGTCATCCTGTTTCCGCTGGTTGAGTGAACACTCCCAAGGAGTCTATTTGGAGGTCAAAGTGGATTAGGGTTGCACTATGGAGTTCAGCCTTTCTATCCTTCCATGTGGTTTTGTACAAAAATATACTTTACATCAAGTCCCTTATTGACAGCGACTACTTCAGATCTCTGTGGGAAAACTAAAAGTAATAGGCTAAGTGCATTATGAATTTGCACCTGAAAACTCCAAAGCTCTATATGCCTTTGCTTTCTCAGCAGATCCTATCCAGGCTCTGTCTGGCCCGGGGTCCGATGCTGTCTTAGCAAGCACGTGGTCTAACAATCCAGGAGAACAGTTCTGGCTCCTTAGGCTTTGTAGTTATGCATGGGTGTTGTCAGGGTGAGTTGCCCATTGGGAGCCACTTCGTTGACATCATCTTCCAACAGTCCGGACACGTCCGCATTGGGGATGCTGTCATGGTAGCTGCTGAAACTGATATTGTCTTCTTTGAGCTCGATGGTCCAAAAGGGGGCATTGAGTTTCCGGTTTTGGTACTCCCGGTACATATACACAGCCCCCACAAATCCCATCAGCAGCACCACCACAATGATGATGACAGTCAAGATGATGATGTTAAATTGGGTCCACGATACATCAGCTAAAGCTGAAGTGCTATTTTCAGCAGAGCTTACTGAAAAGATAGCTTGCAGGGTTGTGGGGGTGAGTGTACTATTTATAACAGGGGTGGGCACTGATGTGGTCAAAGAGGCATTGGGAACCAAAATGGTAGAACCTTCAGGTGTTGGAACAATAACTTCTGAAAATAAAAACAGAGAATGAAATGTAAAAGACAAAATTATCTAGTTTTAAGAAACAATAAAAGAAATACATGGGAGTGGAAGTTGATATGGCATGTTGACATGATATTCTGCTTCAAGGTCATGCAAGTTAAAAATAATTTTAAGAGAATTATAGGGAAAAGAATCAGGGTCTAGAAAGATTAATTATTATATCCATGGCTGTTATTTAAAATATATAATATCTGTATTAAAATCTTTGGAAAAATTCTAATGTTGGAATTTTCCATCCTCTTTACTCTTGGATAGAGTCAAACAAATTCCTGCAGAGGCAATAAATATGTCACTACTGAGTTCTAAATCACTTGGTTAAAAGTGACAGGGATAGATGACAATTGAACTAAAATAAGTTCAGCATGTCTGATGGCATTTCATAAGGGCAAACTTCTATTCAGAGGAGGCCAAAACAAAATAGAAAAAATTGTATTTCTAGTTACTTCTAGATAACATAATTTAGATGTCCAAAATTGATGTCAGTCACAAGAGAAAAAGACTGCCTTTAATTTCATGTGTAGTAATTCTTCCTTTGTGTAGATTACAGCTACAATTAGCGTTCTATGCTTTGTACTTCCAGTGCAGCATAGCTCAGTGGAAATACCAAAGGCTCTGAAATAAGTAGAACTGCATGGTTATAGATAAGTCAGTTAATTTTTTAAAAACTGAGGTTTCTCATCTATAAATGGGAAAAATAATATAAGCTTTGCAAAATTCTTGGGAAGGATTAAATGAGATAACATACTATGTAATATTGTTGTATTTAATGTTTACAGGGCTTGGCACATAGTAGTCATTCAACAAAATGATTACTTTTGTCATTATAACTAATCACCACAACCAGCCACATCAATCTATCCTAAATAGAGGCATGTTTTACATTATTTAATAACTAATAAGAAAAATCATCACAATCCTGACAGCTAAGTATACACAAGATATGCCTCCAAGGGGGAAAGAGAACTGAGTGACAGGACATCCGGGCTGGTGATCAGGTTCAACCTGAGTTCAGCCTTGATCTCAACAGAGTAAGGACATCGAGAAAACGGCAGAAGGACAACCCCTGCCACAGGCCACACTCCATCAGCCCAGTATTCGGCATCTGTCAGAATATCAGAGAGTAGTTTATACAAAAATGTGCTCTAATCTCTCTGTGACCTAATAAAGCCTGAATATTCTTAACTCATTCTGAATTTCTAATCATTAATTTGTATCTAAACCCTACTGAACCTCCCTGGAAGAAACATTTTGCTATACGGATAACTTTTTCTTTTAAAGATCAAAAGGAATACTACAACTATTTCCCCCATCACATGTGGGAAAATCAGGCCCAAAGTTAGGACAGATGCTAGAATGAACTGTTGTTTCTCAGCTGGAACTTCTAACCAGATTATAGTCCCTATTTAAAAAGACCTTTGGTGATCACTGGAGGTGATGAGAATACAGGAAGCGAAGAATAAAAAAAAATGATAGGACTTCCAAATTATTAACATAAATATAAAAGTAGATGAAGAGAAAATGTGAAAACACTGCAATGACTTGGTCTTGGTCCTCAAATTTCTGAAGTTGACTTTGGAGTATCAGGAGAGCAGCAGGAATGGAAGGAAATCTCTTTAGGCAAATATCTATCAACATCTATTTCCAGAAAACTCCTCTTGCGAGATTGGAAGGTTTTATAAAGCTAAAGGTAGCTGTCCTGAAATTTTAAGTGCTAGGCTTAGATATTAAATGTACAACCTTAGGTGAAGTTTACCTTTCTTGATGCAATTGTCTTCGGGGTCTCGAACATAACCTTCTAGGCAGTTCTCACACCAAAACCCAGTGGTGTTATGGAGGCAGCTGATGCACTCACCACTCTCGGGCTTACAAATCTTTGGAGTTTTAATTGGGTCCACGTGGCCATGACATTGGCACTTCATACAGATGCTGTCAGAATTGTAATAGCCATTTTCACATTTATTGCAGTTCTGGCCTGTATAACCTTCTTTACACTGGACACATTTAGGTTCCAATTCACCCAATTCTAAAACAGAGAGAATACCAAAATAATTCAGTCCGGTATCAAGCTACAGTTGAAAATGCAAAACAACTACTCATTCTCAAAAGGGTTAAAACTTTTCCTACTATCTCCTCTCAAACTAAGAGACACATGGAATCAAACTAAAAATCTACACCTTATTTACTAATTGCCCAATTTATTGTGAAAATGATGGGGCCATCAGAGAGGCTATTCAGGTAGAAAACAAAAGAAATATGTTTACATAAGAAATCTGAATAATTACAAGGGCTAGGCACTCACTTTTTTTATCCCTTACTCTTTAGTCATGATAGATGGAATACCGTTTTGCAGAAAACTTCCTCATCCCTCCCTCAAGGGTCACTCCCCATTCGTATGCAGACGTGACTGCAAATTCCTAGAAAGGGAAGCCTTTGTTGTTTTTATAACTCCCTTTCACCTACAGCACCCAGAACTTCACTTATCAACACATTTTGTACCTATCGATAACTGATTCACTCATTTTTCCTTTAAAAATGAAGATTTAGAGAAAGGTCTTACTTATGACACAACTGCCTGTAGACGTCACTGCTGAACAAGGGCAGTGAAGACATTCTGTAGAGGCATTGGGACTTGGATAAAATCCTTCTTTGCATTCTTCACAGTGGTCCCCTTTACTGTTCCCCTGACAGTTTAAACACACACCTGAAAGAAGCCAATTATTTTAAGAAGTTACATATTTACTCTGAAAGCACAGTATATATAATATATATATGTAAATTTATATAAATCATATGCAACCAAAAGACCTTAGGAGTCAATGAGAATAAGTCCCCCAACAGAGACTGGACAGAGTTCAGCTGCTGCCCCATCTGACTTCAGCTCCTTGAGTTCAGTGTCCCTACTAGACTATAAACTCTTTAGGGAAAGGCAACCGGATTTGCAATCAGTCCTTGTTGACTGACTGCACACTGAAAGTAGGCCAAGAATTTGTGAAGAAAAAATTAAAACAACCTAAATTCATTAAAAGAAAATAGATAAACTGTACTATTTTAATCATTGGCATGCTGCGTTAAATAAGTGAATTAGACCTATACATTATGAACATGTATAAATCTCAAAAACAACATTGATTGAAAAAAGCAAAATGATATATACAGGAGGAGTTTGTAACTTATTTTGTAAAATTGTAAGAACCACACTAAACAATACTAAGCAGACAGATCCACTAAGCAGATGGATACACACATCTGTAGTAAAAAATTAAATATGGTCTGAGTGGGTGCCGGCAAACTGTGTGCTCTGCTTGCCTCTGTGGAGGGAAAAATGAGACCACAGAAGACAACAGAGAGGACTCCCACTTTATCTGAAATTCTCTATTTCAAATATATAACCATATATGTCTGTGTACAACTTACTAAGCAAAATATAAAAAGTTTATATTTATTATTCTAGTTGTGGGTACATGGGTATTTGTTATATTATACCCCATACACTTTCATATTTAAAAATTCAAAAAATAAAATGAAAACAATCAAAAATAGAAAGAAAGAAAGAAGGCAAGCAGAGTTATGTGTTTTGTAATAATACTTTCTGGTGCCCTGTTAGTAACTATATTCCACAGGCACTAAAACAGCACAGTGTCTGAAAAAAAGAAATTAAAAAGTGCAGTGTAATTTACATTCCTTCTTTAGGGGCCCACAGACATTCAAAGGGACACTCAGAACTATTACAGAAGTGAAAAAAGTGAGCAAACTACATAAAAATCTAGGAATACAATGATATTTTACATGATAAACTAAAATACAGTTCATTACAAAACTATTCATAGAGCTCTTAAATTTCCTTACCAGTAAATATTTACAAAAAAGGGGAGGAGAATGAGGTTGTGCAATAAAATAGTCTGACAACTGGAGCAAGATTTGAAGAAACAAAAGAATGAATATAGTACCATACATGTCAAATCTCAATTCTTTTTCATTGACATAATATATCCTGTTAGTTTCAGGAGTACACCACAGTTATTTGATATTTATGATTCCTACAATAAGCTAGTGACCATCTATCACCATATAAGTTATTGTAACATTTTAAATATATTCCCTATGCTGTACATTATGTCCTGAGACTTATTTATAACTGGGAGCCTGTACCTATTAATCTCCTTCACCTATTTTACTCACCCCACAATTCCCCCATTTCTTTTTTCCCCTATTTCTAGTAACCACCAGTTTATTTCCTGTTCCTGTGAATCTGTTTCTGTTTTGTTTTATTTTTGATTCCACATATAAATGAAATTATATGGTATTTATCTTTCCTATCTGATTTATTTCATTTAGCATAATACCCTCTAGGTCCATCCATGTTGTCACAAATGGAAAGATTTCATTATTTTTACTGCTGAGTAATATTCCATTGTGTATGTATATGTATGTGTGACTGTGTGTGTACCAAATCTTTCTATGCCATTTATCTATCAATGGACACTTAGTTGCTTACATATTTGACTATTGTAAATAATGGTAAAGTGAACATGGGAGGTGCATATCTCTTTTCGAATTAGTGTTTTCATATTCTTTGTATAAATACTCAGAAGTAAAATTACTGTACTATATAACAGTTCTATTTTTAATTTTTCAAGGAACCTCCATTTTATAATCTCATCAACATTGTGCAAGGGTTTCCTTTTCTCCACATCCTTCACAGCACTTATTATTTTTTGTCATTTTGATAAGAGCTATTCTGACAGGTATGGAGGAATATCTCATTGTGGTTTTGATTTGCATTTCTCTGATGATTAGTGATGTTGAACATCATTTCATATGCCTGTTGGCCATCTGTAAATCATCTTTGGAAAAATGTCTATTCAAGCATTCTGCTCATTTTTAAATCAGATTGTATGTTTTCTTTATAATAAATTCTTTGTATATTCTTTATAGTAAGTTCTTTGGATATTTAGCCCTTATCAAATGAATAATTTGAAAATATCTTCTCCCATTCAGTGGGTTGTCTTGTTTTGTTAATGGTTTCTTCCACTGTGCAAAAGCTTTTTTAGTTTGATTTAATCCTATTAGCTTATTTTTGTTTTTGTTGCCCTTGCATGAAGAGAATAGTCCAAAAAAATAATGCTAAGGCTGATGTCAAAAAGCCTATTGCCTGTGTTTTCTCCTACAGGTTTTATAATATCATGTCTTACATTCAAGTCTTTAATATACTTTGAATTTACCCGTGTATATGGTATGACAGTGGTCCAGCTTTTACATGGTCCAATTGTCACAAAACCATCTATTGAAGAGACTGTCTTTGTTCCCATTTCCTCATTTGTCATAGATTAAAGGCACGTTTATGCATAGGTTTATTTCTGGGCTTTCTATTCTATTCTTTTGATCTCTGTGTCTGTTTTCATGCCAGTGCCATACTGTTTTGATTATTATAGATTTATAATATAGTTTGAAACCAGGGAGCATGATACCTCCAACTTTGTTCTTTTTCAAGATTGCTTTGGCTCTTTGAGGGCATTTGTGGTTCCATACAAATTTTAGGATTCTTCATTCTATTTCAGTGAAAATTGCCATTGGTATTTTGATAGGGGTTGCACTGCAGCTGTAGATTGCTTTGGGAGTATGGGCATTTTAATGATATTAATTCTTCCAATCCACGAGCATGGTATATCTTTCCATTTATTTGTTTCCTGTTCAATTTCTTTCATCAATGTCTTGACAGTTTTTAGAGTACAGGTCTTTCACCTCCTTGGTTAAATTTATTTCTAGGTATTTTATTCTTTTTGAAGCAATTATAAATGGGATTTTTTCTTAATTTCTCTTCTGATAGTTCATTATTAGTAAACAATTTTTGTATAAGTTTTATATCCTGTGACTTGACTGAATTCATTTATTAGTTCTAATAGTTTTGTGTGTGTGTGCAGTCTGTAGGATTTTCTATATAGAGTATTACATGATCTGCAAATAGTGATAGTTTGATTTCCTCCTTTCCAATTTGGATGACTTTTTCTTTTTCTTGCAAATTATGTGGTTAGGCCTTCCAATGCTGTGTTGAGTAAAAATGGCAAGAATGGGTATTCTTGTCTTGTTTCTAATCTCAGAGGGAAAGCTTTCAGCTTTTTGCCCTTGAATAAAATGTTAGCTGTGGGGTTGTCATATATGGCCTTTGTTAAATTTTTTCAAATACTTTTTCTGCAGCTATTGAGATGATTATATGATTTCATCTTTCCTTTGTTAATATGGCTTATCGCGTTGATTGATTTGCAGATGTTGAACCATCCTTGTATCTCTGGAATGAATCCTACTTGATCATGGTACATGATCCTATCCTATTAATGTGTTTTTGAATTGAGTTTGCTAATGTTATGTTGAGAATTTTTTACCTATGTTCATCAAGAATATTGACCTGTAATTTTGTGTGTGTGGAAGTAGGTGGGTGGGTGTTATCTTTCTCTGGTTTTGGTATCAGAGTAAAGAGTTCCTTCCTCTTCAATTTTTGGGAATAATTTGTGATGGATAGGTATTAACTCTTCTTTAAATGTTTGGCAGAATTCACCTTTGAAGCTGTCTGGTCCTGGACTTCTTAAATTACTAATTCAATTTCATTACTTATAATCTGTCTATTCAGGTTTTCTATTTCTTTGTGATTCATTCTTGGAAGGTTATGTGTTTCTAGGAACTATCCATTTCTTCTAGTTTTCCAGTCAAATTTCAATTCTTAAATTATTACAAGAGGAAATCCCCCAAAATTCATAAGCTTATTAAGGGAAAGGCATCTTCAAATATTATCTGAATATTTACATTTGAATTAAATCAAACTCGCATGTAAATATCATCACTTTTAATCATATACTTTTTAAGTTCATAGTGATATTATCACATATGCATCAATGTAGTATAGCTTCATACAATGATACATACTTAAGATATTGACTTCTTTCTAGATTTTCTTGTATTCTGATCACTTTAGATATATAGCTTTGTGACCAAAAGGTTGGGAAAGTCAAAATCTGCATTATATATAAGATTTGTCTACCTGCTCACTCTCTATTAAAAATGTCCAATGGAAATGTTTTTAAGGAAAAAAGTTCTGATTAAGTATTGAACTTCAGTATATGAGGGGAGACACACAAAAAAAACTGGAATTATCTTCTGGAGGGCAGGCCCCTTGCAGTATAGGCTTCCCCCGCTAGGTGAGTGTTCTAGGAGCCCATCTGTATCAGTGTGCCAGCTGGCTTTGTTGTGAGAGGCTGCATTCAGCTTCTGTGAAATTTTTTTGAAGGCTCTTCCAATGAGTTTGCCCATTTCATGATGGGTGATTTATGAGCACACCTGCCCACATCATGCTGAGTGTTCAGCAGTTTTTGACCCAAAACGACCCCCATTCATCCTACCTATTCACCCCATCTCACTTCTGGAACAACTCTTTTTTGTTTCCCCAATGAAAAAATTCCTCAAAGGGAAATGTTTTGCTGATGTGGAAGAGGTGAAACAAAAAAAACAACAGAAGCACTAAAAGGCATCAAATTCAAGGAATTCCAAAACTATTTTGAGCATTGGAAAAAAACATCTCATTAGGAATATTGCATCAAGTGGACAGTACTTTGAAGAATGAAATTTTTTATAGATAAAGTCCAGGGTTTTGGGTCCCCCCTCTTAAATACACCTCAAAAAAGTTAACCGTTCTATAACAGAATATGGATG